GCAAGCTCAGATGTCTCAGGAATTTGGTGGAGACTCTTTGCTAGGAATTCCTAAAGATGAGTTTGGTTCATGGCCATCATGAGAACTCACTGGCTTTCATTGTTTTCATATTTCCTGTGAGCTAATGATAGATAGCGTGTGGTTGAACAGGTTTAACTAGGAGTTGCTAGAAGTTTGTTTGCAAAATAGTCTGATAGAAATCAGGAGGTCAGGAGCAATGATTTAATGGCGCAAAGGATCTGTTTGATGCAATTTTCTGCTAGGTATTTAATTCTCCGAAGACATTTCCCTGCTGGATTTTAAAATCAGTTGTGTTGGCTTGGCTCTGGTACAGCAAAGCCTACTTTGACATAGGCAGGACTTGCAGTAGATGTGAGAACTAACATTTTATGGTTTTCCTTAAAATGCCCATAGAAAAACCTTGATCCTGCTGATTCCTAGAGCCTGGCTAGATACTTCAAGTGATTATTTTTGTCTTTTTGCTTTGTTTTCTCCCCACTGCTACCCACTTTCCATGCTAGGAGTGGGGAGATGAGAAGTACTTTGAAAAGTTTATATATCTTCAAACATGCTCCTAGTTTCAAGGTGAATCTGAAAAACTTCAGTGCTTAAAGTCTGCTGATAATCCTTCTGTGTTTCTCCTGATATTGAATCACCTGGAGCTATTTCATCCCTTCTTAAATCAGTGAGGGTTGGCATTGCCTCACTTTTGCTGCAGGATAGCGGGCTATGCCTGTTGCCTACTGAAAATTGCTGCGATTTATGTTTTCCTAAGGAAACTACTTAGCTGAAGTGCTAATTCTGCGGTACTTTACTACAAGAGGTTTGTTTTTTCCTTTTCTTCTCCTTTCAGTGTGCGTCAATACAGTTAGTTACTCTCCCCGTGGTGAACATGGCTGGACATATAAAATAGCCGATGTCAAAATGTGTGCCTTTCCAAAGGGAAAAACAAAGGGAAAAAGGGCAAAAAAAGGAATCAGAACTTTTCCGTTTGGTGCCAAGTTTGGGGTTTGTTTTTTTTTTTGTCTTTTTTCCAGAGTTAACCTTGACACTTGCAGGCAGAGGAGGTAGCAGCAAATTCCGCTGTTATTTTAGCTGGAGGAGAAAGCAAGGAGGGGTAGTGTTAGTTAGGGAATGGGCTGGGGCCTTGCAGGACTTCAGTATCCCATGAAAGAATCCAAGTGGAGAAAGCATCTTGCCCTTGAAAGCGCTGCTGATTTGTGCATGCTATAATAAACAGAATTTTTTTTTTACTTCAGCCTTTGAGCCCTATCAAAAGCAATAAATGGGTGAAAGAACAGATGCTGTGGTTATTCCTTCATAATATCAAAAAAAAAGTCCCCGAAACCTAAAATGTTGTTTTTGAATAATTCTAGCTTTCTTGTAACACTTTTAATCTCTGAAAATCTTTTATTGTTTTGAAAACAGAAGGGATAAAGATGGGTCTTTCAGGGAAAATTGACCTCGTAAATTGAAAAGCTTTAAGAAAACCGATTTTGAAAATCACTGTAGAAAGCAGGTTTGTTTAGAGATCTCAAGTATATTAATAGTATAGGAATCAAAGCCTGGAAATCCCTAGAACTGGTGATGACCAAGCCATGTCACTGCATGCTTATCACACTCCACAGTTGGGTAGCCTACACAACCATCATTAGGCTCTGCACAGGGCAAGGTGCTGTCCGTACATCATTTCATCTGGATGCTAAGATATTCCTGATGAGGAGTTGTCTAATCCAGGATTAGACGTACCTTTTATTATTCTCTGTTAATGTGGAAGGCAGATTGCAGAGAGAGAGCTTTTTAAAATGGGTTATGTTCCTTGCATGGAGAGGGCCTCTCAGTGCAGAGCATGAATTGGATACGAGTAATTCACAGTGACTTGTTAAATCCCTTGCTGTTCTTCTGAAGCACTGTTTGCTGTTATTTTCTATTTTCTTCGACCGCCTGCCCAAATAATTGATGAGAAAAATAATTTGCAGAATATCATAAAGTGGGCAGCATCTCTCAGCCTCGTTCATTTGCCCTGAGATCTGGTTTTCTTCATACATTACGTTAATATGCTGAGCACTGGGTTTCAAAGCATGTGCTAAAACTTGAAAACTCATTTAATATTGTCCACCCAGTTTGATTTTCCTGGCTCATTTTTAAGTGGACAAGGAGTTGAAATCTGGTAATTTTCATGATTATTTAAATGCAGCTCTGTTACTATGTCTAGAAGATAATTAAATCTCTTTCGAAGGAAAGGGCTACTGTTCCTTAGTATTGTGTTAAGCTTTTGTTTTTATATTTGTGATTTGGTTGGATTACTAGGTAAAGTGTTAGACTTTCTGCTACAGAGGTTGGAAGCTTGGGCAGTAGGGATGTAATGCTGGGTGCTTTTTGGTTTACAACCAATCTAATGGCAGTAAGCAAATGCCTCTTTTACAATCCTCTGTGTATAATTCATCTTTTTTTTCCTTTTTTTTTTTTCCTTCCTTATTTCTGTATCTCATTGAGGTAGTGTACAATAAGTGTTAGAAAGATAATTACTCCAATTTCTATATTGTCTGTAGTAGTAAGGCAAATAACACTTAAAGTATTATTATTAAGGTAGATATTTTTAATTTCAGTTGTCAAGTGTGTACCAAAAAAAAAAAAAAAAAAAGAGCCATACAAACTTCTGTAAAATGCTGTCATAGCCTAAAAATACTAGAATCCTGTCTCACTTTTGTTCTTTGTGGAACACAGCTCAACCAAGATTAGTACCTTTACCACAAAAAAAATAATTCTTCTATAAAAACATGTTGAGATTGGAGGCTTTGACTTTACAAACTAGGAAACACCAGAATTCAGGTAGTATCTGTGAGCTTCATTCAGGTTTTTTATGTGTTTGCCTTAATAATAGTATTTTATCCTTTTGATTAGAAGCCGAATATTAAGCTTTGCTTTTGTTGTGGTTTAGCAGAACTCAAGCTAACAAGGCAGCACTAGTGGGATGGATTCTCTGCATGAGCCTGCCCTGGGCGAGCATAGGTTTCACCAGTGATTACTGACAACAGGGGAGTGTTGAAATGCAGGAAGATGTTTTTCTCTTTTGAAGTTTGTGGGCAACTTTCTCGTTCCTCTCCAAGCTGTGTATCCTCCACCAGCAATTTGTCCCGGACTCCATGCCAAAACCATGTCAGCCTCACTCCAAGGTCCTCACACTCTTTGCGCAAGCTGTTTCTTGCCATTCCCCTCTGTAATTCCTGGTTCCTCCCTCCAGCTCCTTTGCTTATGAACTCAGCACATCTCCCTACTCCTGTTTATTTTCAAGAATCAGAAATCATATTGCTGCGCTACGTCCTTATCTGTAAAAGGGTAAAACCTACCTGAAGCATCTGCCAGAGGCAGTGAAATTCTCCCTTCTATTCAAGTATGGAGATGATCTTAAGGACAGAAGTTTAGACCTGGCTTTTGACTATTTCCATGCATCTGTTTAAAACACAACAAAGAAAACCATCCAAACCCTCAACACCCCCAAAAAGACAACTTGAGCAACTGTCATTTGTCTTTATCTCACTTGCTTGGTGTTTCAAGTTTCTAGAGAAAATTGCTGTACAGCCTAGCAAATCTTACCTGCTTAAAACAAGGACTAAGGTTTCAGGATCGCAAGAGAGGAACGACAAATTTGAATCTCACAGTAATCAAGCCATCAGCTGTCTTTGTTTTATTAGCAGCAGCTGGGCTTGGAGGCATAATTAGGGTAATGGTTTCTGGCTCCAGCTGTGTCTCACTCCAGAACAAAGAGAGCTCAGCAGAGATTTTGTAGCATAATACACATTTCCCCCCCTTTTACTTGGGAGAATTATCAAAAATCACTTGATATGCTGGAGGCTGTGATTCAGATACAAGTGGACATGAGTACTTTTCAAAACAGAGCATGTCCGGAGCCCACCAGATGTTGAAGAACCTCCAACCTCCAGCCAAGGGGTAGCCTGATGCTTACATGTATTCAGGATCTACTAAATGGTTCTGAACGTCTTGTGGTACTTTCAAAGGACGCCAAATAGGTCCTAAATAGGAGCTGAAATTTTGCCCTCTACCTTTTTTGCATTGAGTTTCAGATCCTCTGCATGACTGATGAGTTCCTCCAGGATAAGGGATGGGGCTTGCAGAGTGTGTTCTCTTTAGATGAAAGCAGCTATAGAAATGGAGGTTTTCTGATGTCCCACATGGAGAACTGCCGATGGGATGTCTGCTTCTGGTGTGACCTACTGAGCTTGGAGAGGGATAAAAGTTAAAGCCTGACCTAACTGTGTTCTAGCTAACAAGGACCAGCTGGGTCATAGAAAAGGGGGTGGGGAGGGAAATATGGTGAAAATCAGCTTGGCCTCACCAGGAAAACTGGTGGAGGATGAGAGCATTGAGAGGGAACTTAGAGGTCCTTGGCGCTGGAATCTGTGATGGAGAAGGTAATGGGGCTTTCTGCATGATTAATTTAGGGAGAAGTGAAGCTTTGTGGGCTCCCCTCACAATTGCCATGGCTTTGAATGCTACAAAAGCCCCAGAAAGTCATGTAAGTCCTTGTATTGAGATATGCAATATTTCTCTTAAGGTCTTCTCTCCAGAAGTAATTGAAACTATAAGGATTTTACTTCAAGGCTTGAAAATGAAAGCAAATTTCTAGCACAAACTATACAAAGACTGGAAGGCCTTGAAAATCCTGATGTGCAGAAGTACTGACAGGTAGAAATATAAGCATATGTCAGTGCATGGCACTTGAAAATGTAAATTTATTAATTCAGCTCTGTGTGTTAAATTGTAAAATCATCTATCTGTTAGAAATGACTGCAGGAGGATACTGGTAATTGTGCTGGTTTGACATCAACTAAGTCTCCCTGGCACAAGTGATAACATGATTATTCTTTGAGAAGTACAGATACATTGATCCACAGAAAGAAGATGACATCTTCATGTGTAAATTGATACAAAGATCTCTCCTTTTCAATTTTTTTACGTGCTCTGATTTTTCATTCCAGGTGATCAGCTTTTTCAGCTCCCGATTAGAGCAAGCTGGAGCTGAGCTGTCAGTGGAGCGAGTTCTGGAAATCATCAAGCAAGGAGCTGTTGCTTTGCCCAAAGACAGGCTAAGAGTAAGTGCTCAAGACCTTGTCAATTAAAGTGTACTTTTCCAATCAATTACATACCCTTTATATCCATAATGTCAAAACATATTTCTCCTATCGATAGCGACTGATAAGGGTTTACATTGTGGATTGCCATGTGAGTATGTTTTAATTTAAATTCCTCATTTGTACTAAATGTTTGGGTGAGTTTTCTTGATTAGTTATTAGATTGAAGTGCGTGGAGGAATTTCAATTTGTTGAGGCCAAGGTTTTCTTTGACAAAGAAAATGTCAAGGATGCAGTCTCACCTTTCCATCCGTTGTTTAGTTAAGCTGTAACCGAAGTTTGATCTTTCTCTTTGCTGTTGTTGTTAACTTAATCTTTTTTTTCTCATGTTCTGCTTCTCTGTTTGAGTCTGTATAAAATGCTACAAAGATAAGTTCTGGGGGCTTTAGTTAAGAATTAATCAATCTAGGAAAAATCATTTCGGGACCTGTAAGTCTGGTCAACATGATTATGAGCTTTTTGTATAATCCTGAGCAGACCCCTCCATTCCCTTCTGAGAATCTCTGAAGTCTTGTGAGGGATTTACCAACTTGACAGGTTTTGTGAGGCTAAAATCCATTAACAGCCGTGTGATGTTTAAATACTGCAATAATTAAATCTGTATGAGTAGTTAAATCAGTAAATGGGAGTTATATGTGTGTTTTAAACACAGGATGAATTTTGGTTTTCCGTTATGCCAAGTGTATTTTAAATACTGCCTGCTTTCTGCAGGACTGTTTTTGTTCCTACTCCATGATAAGGGAGCAAAAGCGCCTTCTGAAGACCCATTTCTTTCATAGTAACTTTAGGAAAATATCATCTGATAAGGCGCACTGTGTACACAGCCATTGGCGACGGCTGGTAATTTATTTATACCCTGGTAATTTTAAAACACCCAGTGGGAATTGTCTAGCTGGCTGCACATACTAATGTCTTTCCTACAGTTCCTTGTGTCCCTGAGATGGCACGTATTTAGCCGCTCAGGCTGAATTACTTCGGGAGAGATTGGTCTAGAGTCCAAGTCCTGAGTACAGGAATAGCCTAAGTAACACCAGGGAAGTTGTTGTATCCAAATACAGCCCTTTGGGTTGTGTCCTTACTACACTTCAGTACTTTGAATTAAAACACTGGACCTTTTGCTTTTTCTATAAGAATTTACTCTTGCATGCAGATAATTAAAAGCTGTTAAGAGGCTACAGTGATTCCTTCTTGACACACAGCCATTGCTAAATAAGTTCACAGCTTACAAGAAAATGAGGGTTTTATCTGTTACTTAATGTGCCAGATTGATTTGCACGTTGGGCCACAATTTAAAGAAATTTTGTTTCTGGAATGAAATCCCATCATGTTTAAATTTTCTGCGTTAATGATACACAGCATTCACAATTACATGTTTATATTTCCACTTGAATCAAAGGATCAGAATTTTTTGATGAGTGCCGAGCTCTGTAAGTCCTCACCATGCACTTGAGTACTTCCAGTTTTAAGGATGCTTTTAGTGTGAGTTGGAGTGTGACTTACTATAAGCTCTGGAGCTTATAGTGTCTTTTACTTCTCCTTCCAAGGATTTGCATTTGGGGACAGGGGCAAAACCAGACACTTTTCACATAATTCTTCTACACTGCCCATTCTACCTACTGGGTTTTGTCATTGTTTTCAAAGTCCTTTTGCTGAGCAACAGTTTGGCCAGAGCAGGTGAGAAAAGTTGGTGACACTGACCTTGGTATCTGTAATGTCATGCATTAGTTTGTGAATGCAAATAACATCCTTTCTTTGCACAGATTAATGATGAGCAGCATGAGATTCTCTCCTGTAGAAATGACCTTGTGAGTCTTCATGCCCTTCATCCTCACAGTTCCTCAGGTCTTCCCGCTTCACTCTCTGAGGTTTTCAGGGGAAGCTATTCTAACGCTCAACAAACTCATAGTAAGATCAGACTAAAGATATAGTTACACAATAACTCTGGCAACCTTGAGGAATTTCAGCAGCTAAATAAAGGAGAAAGCTTTAATCCACATGTCTTTAATGACACTCTCTGGGCATGTCTGGATGGGTGGGAGCAGCCCTACCTGCAGTCACTGCAGACTGTGAGCTGCATAGACCAACTAATACTGCCTGCTGAAAGGACATGTTTTCTAACACACGATGACTAGGCTATAGCCAATTCAGAGAAGCAGCTTCTGCACAGGAGTTGGCTTGTGTCTGGCCAGCTTGGACAATGTGTGAAGGAATTACGGGTCTGTGTTATCTGGGTTGACATGATCTACATGTAATTGCAACATGCAAAGCTGTGTTTAATCCTGAGAATTTATAGATCAGCTTTGCAGTTAATTGCTAATTAATTTTCAAGCCATCCTTGCCTTTTGCCATAACATACTGAAGTGTTCTCAAGTACAAGAGACCCTGCAGAGATATTACTCCTACCTCCTAGAAATTACCATCTTCAGCTGAAGCACTGTGAGGGAGGTGGCTGAAGCACAAATAGGTTATGACTGGGAAGAATGAGGACTGAATCAGTGCTTTTACTCGCTCGCTCACTTCCCTGCAGCTCAGACAATGGTGGGTTTTTTTCTTATGTGCAAGTACCTAGTGTATGCACAGATAAATACAGTGAATGTTTTCAAGTTGCTTATCTTGGCCTTTGTCGAGGAAGTGAGCATTTAAGAGGCGTTACGTGTATTCAGATCTTGAGCCTGTTGCTTAGACCATAGTTCAAACATGAACAAACGTCAACTAAAAATAACAGCACTTAGAGCCACGATCCTGATCTGCATAATGGAGCTTATCAGTTTTGTAGCACACCCTGGTACTCCTGCTCCCTTTCACCGTGGGAAGCAACATTGGGATGCAAAGTTGGCATGTTAGGCGGAGGTCATATATATATATATATGACCAACAAATAAATATGTGTGTATATATATATATATATATATGTATTTATGTATTAGGAAAGATATCCTGCCTTTTCTTAGCAAATAATTATTGGGAAATGGCAGCTCTAACTCAAAATTTTCCTTCCAGTCCTGGAGCAATCTGACTGCAGACAAACAATATAATTAACATTATTTTAAGCATATGCTTTTAGCCATGTACTGTGGAAAGCAGGGAAAGTCCAGGCTGAGTAATTAGCCTTTTAGAAGACTTCTGCATAAACAGAGAGATAAAGGGCAGGTGCTGAAATCAAGAGCTGGTTATTTCTTCTTCAGTCTGTGGGAGAAGATAAATGAAGTTAATATGCCCAGGATGGAGGCAGAAGCCACGGCATGGAGATAGAGCTGTCTGCTTCGCAGACGAGCAGCCCACAATCCAGGCTCCCTGTTTTATTGCAGAAGCTTATTAAAGGCAATTTAGAGATCATAGTGATAGGTGAAAATTGGCCTCATTCTTTCTTTATTTTTACTTTTTTTTTTTTTTAAGTTCTCAGGAACTTTCTTCTTTTCTGCTTTTCTTCCCTTTGGTGAACCATCTGTACTTTCAGGATCAGGAACGTGAGAGAAGTGGGACCATGTCTGGAGTCGGGCAGTTATCTCAGGATTTCAAAGGGAGTTAGTCAACAGATAACCACTCTTTCACAATAAGTGGGAAAACTTGTTTCAAATACCAGCTAGTGACTAGAAACTGACATTTGGGTTCATGGAATGATCACACTTGGGAGGCCACATTTAATGCTTTATAAAAGAAAAATTCCCATTAGCTAAGCTGCTTAAGGGAGAGATTTCATTTTCATGAACGTACGCTGAGCTGCTTTTATTTTTCTCCTATTCCTTTTCTCCGTGTGTCAATGAATATTTTGTCACCAGTGTGCATCCTGTCACACATTCTTTGTGTGTTATACAGACATGCCATTATGCCATCAACTCACACCTTCTTGGCATGGTACAAAATTTAATATTTATTAATGTACATTCTAGTTTGGGCATTAAAATTTCACAGAATAGCAAAAGAAGCAGGGGTAAAAGCTTTCAGTCTCTCAGCAGAACATGTTCTTTAGGTGTTAAAAGCACTTCTCATAGGTTTCCCCTTTTATTAATGGTGTACTTCAAACTTCCATTTGTTTCATTGGAGAAAGCCCCTAATCATGAAGGCATCAGAGCACAGGGGAAAAGTGTAAATAGTCGTTGGAGTGATGGTAGGAACTGCCTGGCAGCTGGACCAGAACAGCTTTGCGTCCCCAGCACATCACCCCACTCCTGGGGAAGCAGCGCTGACACCAAAATGTCATAAAAATCACAGAAGTTTGACTGAGGTGGTGGTGAACTCAATGGGGGTTGCCAAGTATTAGGTAATTCCAACTCTGGGAAGAAGATGGACCCATAAAGTGTATGTGAAGTCCCCAAAACTGAGGGGCTCTAAACAGTTTCTTGGTTTGGCTGCTGAGTGCTCTGGGGAAGGGTTACCCTCTTTCTGCAGATGCTCCTTCTAGGAAGGAGGCATCATCTGTTCAACAGTCACTTGTACCATCACACTGTGCAGAGGGGCAGGACATGGGTAGCACTTGCACAGCATCCCAGGTTGCAAAGGAAACTAGTGGCATTCTGTATATATGCATGCTGCCTAACACGATGTTGATCCCAAGAGACCGTCCATTGCCCTGTCTTCTATTCCAATTGCTCCTGTTGCTCTGGTTGGGTTTCTTTTTCAAGAGTCCTTATGTCCTTAATCCTCAGTGGTTGTTACCTGGCCACAGCAAGATGCTGGCTTCAGAATCCAGACCAGTGGTTTTTAATGGTCTAAATTAAACCTTGGGGCAGACCTGTAATTCTTAAGCCATGTACAGCTTTTTTGCATTTGTTTAAGTGCTATAACTGTACCTCACTACCATGGGTTTCAGATAGAAGACTGCACGAATTAACTGTATGACACTGTAAAGAGGTAGGGGCAGAGGAGTTATGGATACCAGCAGCTCCTTTCCAGAGCTCTAGGGCATAGCCCTAAGCAAGAGAGACAGAAAACTTCCTTAAAAAAGAAATTAATCAAATTCT